CACACCCAGCATTATGACTGACAGTTTTCATGAAACTTTCATAGCAAGTTGCAAAGATAGCATGGGCATCTGCTAACTTGGACTCTCGCTTTATCTAGCCCTCCCCTCTGTAACAAGGCTACATATCACATAATTGTAGACTAGCATTCAAACCAAGAGAGAAAATTAGTACAATGCATGTACAGAATTCTTCATCTCTGTCTCATGTGGAGATAGCTCTGGGTGTGTACCACCACATTCAAGATACATTTTGCACATGGTGACTCATACCTGAAATCCCAGGGTTCTTTGAGAGGTTGAAGCCAACCCAGGCTGTGTATTAAGTTCTAGGGCAGTCTAAAGAAAACCAAAAACACAACACCTCAAAAGTCTAGGACAAATAGAGACTCCAATGAACTGTTTATAAATACTTTATGCACAGTTATATTCAAGGTCATGTTCATTTGAAATCGTCAGTGTTCCTGTCTGTCTTAGCCACTGTTCTATTGCTGTGAAGAGACACCATGGCCACAGCAACCCTTATACAAGAAAGCATTTAACTGGAGACTTGCCTACAGTTTCAGAGGGTGAGTCTACCGCTATTGCTATTATTAGTATTATTATTATCATTACAGTGGGGGTATGGGGGGTGCACAGGCAGGCATGGTCCTGGAGCTGAGAGCTTTACATCCGGATTTACAGACAGCAGGGAGAGAATCTGGACCGGGCATGAACTTTTGAAACATCAAAGCCCACCCCCAGTAATTCCACTTCCTTCAACAAAGCCACACCTCCTAATCATTCTAATTCTTCTCAAATGGTGCCCCTCCCGATGACTAAGCATTCCAATATATGAGCCTATGGGGGCTGTTATTATTCAAACTACCATACTGTCACTTTTCAATTCTCAATTCAAATGGCTCAACAAGTCTTAAAAGTTGCTTGAAGAATGCCAGGCATGATGACTCACACCTATATATAATCCCAGCCCCCCAACAGGCTGACACAGAAGGATTGACACAAGTCTGAGGCTAGCCTGGGCTACAGAGTGAGATCCTGTCTTAAAAAAATAAAACCAACAAAACCAACCAGGTATATTGGTGTACACTCGTAATTTCAGCACTTGGAGGTAGAAGCAAGACAACTAGGAATTCAAATTCATCCTGTCCTACATGTTAGAATCCAGATTGGACTATGTAAAAGCCTGTCTCGATAAATCAAACCAAACCAAGAGCAAAATTCTCAGAAGACATTGTCTGGGCTCCACAATGTGAAATTGAACTCAAACGAACGTCAAAATGACTTTCACTTCCCCTTCCAGCATTTAAGCTGCCTTTGCTGTGTTTGTTACAGATGTTTAGCATCTGATAATGTCTCAGCTACTTGCTTGAATTTTCTCTTGACTTCTTTATTCTTAGTATTTTTATTTGGATGCTACTTTAGTGCCAGTTTCTAAAATGCCATTCCCCCCTGAGTCAGGGTGTCGTGTATCTCAGGCTGAGCCTTGAACTCACTGTAGAGCTAAGGGTAACCTTGAACTTCTCACACTCCTGCTCTCATCTCCTGGGTATCTGTGTTTGTCTGTTTATTTCAGTGGTGGGGATAAAGCCTATGGTTTTACACTATGCTGGACAAACAACAGATATCTGAGTCACATCCCTCGCCTAAGCCATGACGTGTATCCTCAGATAGCACAGGAACAAAGCATCTCTTGGGGGATTCTTTTATAAGAACATTTATATCACTGAGGAAAACAACACCTACAACTTTTATAGACTTCACTTCCTAATCGTGTCTCACTGATAATTTTCTTCTGGCTTATACCCATGTATTTATTGTTAATTTATATGCAGGAGTAGGCTGGGAAGTACTAGGAATGTTATCATCTGGTTGGTATTCTCCAAAAAGCGCAGCAGGCAGCCTTCTTGTTTCTATGACAACCTGCTTTGAGTGGAGACATTGTTTTGCCTTCCACTGAGTGAGATATAATGGGTTCTTAGATTCTCCAGCATAGAGATATCAGGAGGTACAATGAGCTTAACTGCCCTCCCCCAATAAACACCAACCCATGGATCCAACAAAAGCAAGTGACCAGTCTCATCATGCATCCAGTGAAACCAAGTTCAAAGCCCATCATGGTGTCCAGGTCTCTATAGCTATGTGGGAAATGATCATGTTAAAATAGTAAGTAGTAAAAGAAGCTCTTGGTTACATGTGAGGGGCTAGCGAGATAGCTCAGTGGTTAAGGACACTTGCCACCTAGCCTAAACAAGAGCATTCTATCATCAGAACCTCCAGTGAGAACCAACTCCTTATAGTTGCCTTCTGGCATCTATATGCTCACTGGCACATGCACGCCCAAACACACACACACACACACACACACACACACACACACACACACACGCACACGCACACGCACACGCACACACACGCACGCACACAAATTTTAAAATGTAATCCCTAGATGAGCCACCAGATGGCAGAGTTGCTCAAGTTTAGAAAATTCTAAGCGCCTTTGTAACCAGTGTGTAAACTTTTTAAAAAAAAAATACAAGTAAACCAAAGATAAAATTTACCTGACACATAATATCTTGGATAGATACTCTAAATACAATGTCAGTTTTTTCACATTATTTTACATTTACTGCAATGTAATTAAAGTTTTAAATATTTACATACCTGAATAGTATCTTGTTTCTACTTTATAATTAACTCTTGTGAGTCTCTTTCCAGAATACTAAATATTCTTTTATAACATTTCACTTTCTTTCTTTGGAAAATCATATGGGTAAATAGTGTGTCTCGAAAATTTTTACACCCAATTCCTTCCTCCTGATCCCTCAGGGATCCCCAATTTCCTCCTCCACTCTCTTTAAGTAACCCAAACCTAGTATGCCTCCCTCCTTACTTTTTGCAATTTTTTGCCTTTATTGATTTACTTTGAGTGAGGCTGGGGGGATATTTGTATGGCACAGTGCAAGTGTAGAAGTCAGAATGCAATCTGGGGAAGCAGTTTTCTCCTTCAGTTGTAAGGGTACTAGATAAGCCCTGTACCTGTGGAGGTATTTTTACCTCCCTCTTCTTAAACATATACTTTTATTAAGTTTTAAATTGTATATATATGTTTGTATCTGTGCACATGAGTGCAGATGCCAGAGGGAGGCAGGGGGAGGCAGGGGCAGACAGGGGGAGACAGGGGCAGACAGAGGGAGGCAGGGGGAGACAGGGGGCAGGGGGAGGCAGGGGGAGACAGAGGGAGGCAGGGGGAGGCAGGGGAGACAGAGGGAGGCAGGGGGGACAGGGGAGACAGGAGTAGGTAGGGGGAGGCAGGGGAAGGCAGAGGGAGGCAGGGGGAGACAGGAGTAGGTAGGGGGAGGCAGGGGGAGGCAGAGGGAGGCAGGGAGAGACAGGGGGCAGGGGGAGGCAGGGGAGACAGAGGGAGGCAGGGGGATGTAGGGGAGGCAGGGGAAGACAGAGGGAGGCAGGGGGAGACAGGGGGAGGCAGGGGGACACAGGGGAAGGCAGGGGGAGGCAGGGGGAGGCAGAGGGAGGCAGGGGAGGAAGGGGGAGGCAGGGTCTCCTGGAGCTCTAGTTCTCTAGAAACATAGTACATGGTCTTAAACACTGAGCCATCTCTCCAGGCCATTCCTATGTAGCCCAGGTTGGCATGAAACTCACTATGGAGTTGATCTTGGCCTCCTAATCCTCCTGTCTTCATTTTTTTCAAGTGCTGGAATTACAGGAGTGAAGTAGCACACCTGGCTCTGCGGCATTATTTTCTAAGGCTTAATAGTGATTTCTAGGGCATTGTTTTCAGATGCTTACTCATTTTTTTTAAAAAGCATCATGTCTGTGGTATAGGTTGATGGCAGAACTCTTGCAAGCACAAGGCCCTGCTTTTATCCCCCAGTATCCAGAGGAAAAACCCAAGAGGGAAGTTAACCTGGATTACACAAGAAACCTATCAGAAAACACTAACTGTGGGAACACCAGACCTTGAGCAGAGACCCACTTCCCCTTCTGCCTGGGAGTAGGCAGCTGTAAGACAATGTTTACTAAAAACATGTTTACTAAAAACAATACAATGCCTGGGGGCATTAAGTTCCTGGAAAAGGCCTGCCCACAGAAACCACCCTGACCTCGACCTTGTCCAAAGACTAACTGCCCCTTCTGCCACGCCCAGATCAGTTTCTGGGGTCAGAGCAGAACCAGCCAGGGGAGAGGAGAGAGCAGAAGCTTCTCTGGTGGGAGCCTTTCTTAGGAAGTTTTCTTGAACCTTTTTTGGGGCCTGCTTAAAGTTTTCTTTACACCGTTGAACAAGTCTCTGTGTTGTCAATCCCCGACACCCTCCGCACGTTCTCGGACACAGGCCGCGCAGCAGACGCGACAACTAACAGTGGTCCAGAAGCTTAGACAATGTGTGCTTTGTCATGTTTAAATTATTTTGCATGTCGATAATGAACTCCTTAGCTTAATGTACTAATTACTAAAAGAGGAGTTGTAGGGACAATGTTATTCATTGCCGGCAGCACACATTCTCAAATTGTTTTCCAGGAAGAAAGGCAAAGACACCCCAGGCAGCCCCATGAAAGGATGCTGAGCAGGCTCTCTCATTTGCAACATTATTACAGCTTCCGAAGTTTGGAAGCTGAAAAGCAAATTGCATCTCTTCAACAATGAAAGCTGAAGGAAGCGCTGGGCCTGCGTTATTGTCACTTGTCATGTAGTGTGCTAAGCACTGGCAATCCAGAAGTGAGTGAATGCACTGGGCAGATGTTTCCATTCTCATGTGGGAGGGCCATGTGGGCAGGCCCACAACAATACAAACTGATACACCAGTCGTTATGGAGAAGTGCTGTAGAGGGAAAGCGGGTTAGCACAGCATGGATAGAATGGGCATGCTCACTGGCTACTGGTAAGCAAGATTCCCTTATCTCCTCAGCTACTGTGTTTCTTTGTGTGTGAAGGGGAGTGGATTTGAAGGGAAGGCCACTGACACTTGCAGCCGCTGTCCTCATTCTGAAAAGGACACATTCAGCCCCTACATCCCTGGCTCCCAGACGGCGACTCTGAAACTCTAGGTTGACCCATATAAGAGATCTGTTTCTTCTCTCAGCACACAGCACAACTCCAGGTGCAGGTTGACACCCAGAAGCAAAGCCAAGGTAAGCTTTTTGGAGATAGGAGCACAGAAATGATCTCTCAGGCCCCTGGGCAGAATGGGGCCCACCTTCCTCCCTCTCGCAGGCTTGGCAGCATGTGTCATTGCAAAGATGGTATGTGTCCTCGCTGAGGAGCAGTTAGAATAAACGAGGAAACCTTTCAACTGATGAAGGCACAAGACCTTTAGATGGACTCAACCCAGGCCTGCACCTAAGAAGGAAGGGCACCACACACTCAGTGGTCATTGAAGATAGTGGCTCTGAGTTCCTAGTCTTGTGCCGATGAAAATGAAAGCGGAACACTCTTGTGGAAGCAGACATTATTAAGAATTATTTAAGAAGAAAAAAATGGGAAGTTAGATAAACTGCTGGGAGTGGGAAGGGTTTTCTGGAGAGGACAAGTCAATGAGCTCCTCTGTCTAGGGATTTTTATAGGATCATGGCAGAAACTGGACAATGGTTGAAGTAATCTCTAATAATTGGTTAATTCTCTGGGCTATCATAGACCAAGCCAATGGAGGGTTCATATGCTCTGAACATATCATCATGGCCCACTTTCTGTTCCCGTATGCCCACCTAGTTAGGGGTAGTTGATGTCTTTCTCTCTGACCATCACTGACCCTAACTTTGTTAATTATTGGCTTTGACTGTCACTGATGCATCCTTCCAAATTGGAGATTTCTTGTTTTATGCTATGTTCTCTTTGTTCCCACATTTACATTACCAGCACTAGCTTTATCACAGAAGAAAGTTAACTCTATCATGGCCACCAAGACGCAGCTGTGGTCCTTCTCGGTTACATCATATTTGGCTATTTGCCTGTGGGAGTCTGAGATGTCCTCTTAAGCAGACACTTCTTAGAAATCATCCTGGTACTATCTAGAAAATCCTCAAAGAACATAAGGGACTATTGTCTATTGTCTTTTCTTATATTCCTGCTCACGCGCGTGCGTGCGCGCGCGCGCGCGCGCACACACACACACACACACACACACACACACACACACACACACAGCAAATATCTCCCTGAAAAGCAGAGAGAGGACTGAGGAAGTTGAAGTCAGGCCTTCCTGGATGATGGGGTGTTGTAAGGGTCTTTAGTAGGCTTCAGTGTGAGACCTTTACCCCATAATTTAGAGTTGGTCAGTTTGAGCAAAGAAGAGGATGCTGATAAGTCCACAGCTTTGGGAAAATGTGTCCTGGTCCAGCCTGGGAGGGTCTGCTGGCAGAAGAAGATGCTTCCAAGGCCTTTGTTTTAAGCTTCCAAGCCTTTGTCACAGTAAGGAGGGTAAAGAAGAAATGAGCAATTTGCTGACTTTCTTATCTACCTGTGGCCCCTTTCCCTACCTGTCTCCTATGAGAGCGATGCTGGTTCCACACTCCTTACTTCCAGTGTAGTCTCTTATAATTAACTGTATCAGAAGCTGGGTGGTGGTGGGACACACAGTGAATCCCAGCACCAGGAACGCAGAGGCAGGTGAATCTCTGAGTTCAAGACCAGCCTGGACTACAGAGAATTCCAGGATGGCCCGGGCCACACAAAGAAACCCTGACTCTGGGGAGAGAAAGGAAGAAGCAAGAATATAAGAAAAGACAATAGACAATAGTCCCTTATGTTCTTTGAGGATTTTCTGGGGTAAGGGAGTAAACTGGCTTTCTGTCATTGACCGAAAGCCCTGTCCTTCCTTTTATCTCTTTAGCTTGCTTATCTTGGAGCCAAGTGTGAGCCTTCTTATTCATTGTGGTGATTTGAACAACATGGCCCGTATGGGCTTGTATATGTGAATGTTTGCTTCCCAGGTGGTGGACTGTTTAGTGGATGGTCTTGTCAGAGGAGGTGTATCGTCAGGTGGTGGGCTTTGAGGTTTCAAAAACCCATATCAGGCCCAGTGTCTCACTTCGGATATCAAGACTAAAGTCTCAGCTACTGCTCCAGCACCATGCCTGCCTGCTGCCGCCACTCTCCCCACCATGATGGTCATGAAGGAACTCGGAAACTATAAGCAAGCCCTCAGTTAAGTGCTTTCTTCAATAAGGTGCCTTGGTCAAGGTGTCTCCTCACGGCAATAGAACAGTAACTAAGACACCCATCTTCCTCAGCGTTCCAGGCCATGCTGTGTTATCCCATAATCCTCATGTAACTGCAGCCTCTGTCATGTCAACATTGATGAGCAACTTGGACTTCTTACCAGGAGCTCTTTTCCCTCATCTATTGAGAGATAGCTCCTCATTCACAAAATAGACTCCACCATGCAGCTCCTGTCATCACTCTTCCTTGAATTTCTAAGCATCCCAAACACAAGGTGGGGCTAACTACACCTTTGAGAGAGTACCTCTGACATGAATTATGGTTAGTACCACATGGGTTATCAAAGACTGCCATTGGGTCTGGGAGAATCCATTAAGATGGTAATGACTTTTCATGTTAGCATATTTCTCTCAATTGCTGTTGAAGGGTCTCATGTTAGGGATCAAGGGGACACTGAGATGGATTTTGGGACGTAAAAGAAGTTTATGAAAAGAGGCATTTCCTAGACATGGAGTCATATACATTTAATCCCAGCACTTGAGAGGCAGAGACATGTGGATTTCTGTGAGATCCAGGCCAGTCTGGTCTACAGAGTGAGTTCCAGACCAGCCTGGCATACATTTTGAGGCCCTGTCTCAAAAATAAGAGTTACTGATGCCATGGATAGACAGATAACAGTGTGTCAGAGGCTTTTAAGAAAAGAGTCAGAACTCACAAAGCAGAAGTGGAAGTCTCTCCTAACATGAGCATAGGAATGCTTTCACAGCCTGAGTCTGCATTCAGACTCTCCTATTTTCAGGCAACAGGCAGAAAAGGGAGTGGGGAGCGGGATGTGTATCCACCAATACTTTCTTTCATGTAAACTAATTTTCCCAGATGAGAAATCCAGTCACCTAGAAGGATGTTAGGTAGAGATCCATAGACAATGCCCTCCCTGGCGTGCCTATTCATATCTGTGAGAGGAGGAGGAGGAGCCCTGTAGTAGCAGTCTTGCCTGGATTCTAACAGTAACAGTAAGGAAAGGAATTCTGGGAGGACTGATCACATGGCCTCAATCCAAGTCCACTAAGACACCAAGTACATTCACTTTCCTTCCCCTCATTTGAGACAGACCTTCTTCACACAAAAACGTGTAGTTGTAAGATCTGTGTGGGGGCTATTGAAAGTCGTGAGGCATCACTGGAACGAGACGTGAGACATAATTCTACAAGACACAGAAGATAAGGTCTTGTAGGCCAAGATGGACACAGCACAGCCTCTCCTGAGATGTGAGGGATCAGACAGCTGTTCGGAAATGACACACCCTGGCCACACTGCCATGTGTACTCTCTTCCTCTCAGCTCTTTCCACTCACATTGGCTTCTACACAACAGTTACGGGGAGAGTTACCAAGCCAGACATCAGAAGATGGTTCTAGGACACAGGAAGTTGTGTGTTAGCAGAGGCCCAGATTCACCTCTAATACCTTATGGCCAATGTCACGGTGTCTTAGGTGAGGAGGACCATCCAGGGGTGCCACCAAGTTTGCTCCATGGGACAGACAAAGAATTGTACATGCAGAGATCACTAAATCAACAGACTGGAGGGAGGTCACAGCCACTATCAGCAGGAAAGTGAAGTGACAGGTGAAGCTATCAAGGGCTGCAGATGTAGGGAATGTGAAAGCAGCAGCTGCCAGAAAGCAAAAGTGACAGCTGGAGATCGTGGGGGCCACAGACACGGGGGACAAGTGGCTGCTGCCCAAAAGTGAAAACTCCATTTGGAGAGCATGGGACCCCAGACCCAGAAGGTGAAAAAGCACCGGTCAGAGAGAGAAACAAGAAGAGAATAGGAAGATTTCATTAGGGCAGAAAACCAGCTCCCATCAGGAGGGTGGGAGGAGCCCCAGAGATGGGAATCTTCCTGCTGGCTCTGGGTCAGAATTCCTTCAGGCTCCCCAGGGCTCTTCCCTCTCCGGTTTTCCCCTTCTCCCTCACTGTATTGCCCTCTAGCCATCAGAAGTTAGTAACAGTTGCAACAGTTAACTGTTGCAAGGAGCAACCCTTAAAGGGGCTAGTCCCTGTTTTCTAAATGATTACTAGTTCTCCTGATCCTCCTCTATTCCCCTCTCTCAGAGAGCAGAGATTGGAGGCAGTGACTATTCTGGCTACTTCCTGATGAGAAGGGAAAGTGTTTTAAGGTTTCAGCCAGAAAGGAGGACTCTTAGGTGATGGTCTTTAGGACTAATATAGAGGACTGTGACAGAACTCAGATGTCTGCATAGACCCAGGGTACAGGGCAGTCATTTTGACTTTGCAGATGTACCCATGGATATGCTATGGCCATGAGATGGATATTCTGGGTGACTGTACCTAATCCTGTGACTTTGCCGACTGGAAACTTAATTGCCTCATTCAGTTGGGGAAACATGGGCAGCTGGAACACAGGATTTTATATTATAGTTATGAGAAGCTATTTTCAATAGTGGAGATGTTCTGTAAGTGTCAAAAGTACGCTTATATTTTCTCTCCATGTTCAGGAGGATGGGACATTACCTAATGAACAAACAGCTCACATTTTACTTGAATTAAGATATCTAGCAGAAACGTATTGGGCCAGGGTGGACACTCTCTACCAAGCTAGAGGTGGAGATATATTCTTGGGAAATCTATTTTGTGTTCCTTGCATATTCCTCCAACTCTGTTTTTTCCTTCCTTAAAACGGTCCTGCCTTCTACACCCCCGCCAAAAAATGATAAGCTGACTTTATGTTTTATGCCAGATAGGGAATCCTCTTCTATATGAAGTGGCCTAGTCTAGTTGCTCTGCAATCTCTAGGCCTGCATTTATTCCCTCTAGTAAGTCCCCTATTATGAGAAAAGGCTAAAATGTATGGGATCATGGAGGGGGATGCACTTCATCGTTGTTTTTCTGGGCCTCGTCTGGGATAGCCACCGGAGAAACTGGGTATATTGAAAGACTATGGCCAGAGTATG